CCTAATACTTCCAACATAGTTTTCTAACTTTTTGGCAAATCTAATACGAGACATTTTGTATTAAAATTAAATAACTTTCTTCTACCATCACAAATCCAACATGAAATAAAAAAAAATATAAAACATTAACATTCGAAGACCATAAATAATCAAAAAAGTTAAAATAAAAAATGTATAAATAATACCAATTCACATCGGTTTATGTTAAAGTTTGATGATCAAACAAATTTTACACCTCACATGGAGACAATGTGTATAAGACTCTTATCCATAATTTGAAAATGGTATAGAAAATGTGGTATTTTAGCTTTACTAGCTAATGAGCAAGGAGATCTAAAGATCGTGTGAGAAGGAAGCTTACGATTCACGAAAGGCACATAACATAAACATAGTGATATTCTTCTACTTTTTTTAAAACCTTTTCCTACTAAAAAGACAAGAAAATAAACAATAAAACTTCCAAGATCAAGTACAGATCCAATCTCAACTCAATTGCTTTTGAAAAAAAAAAAGTACAATGAAACAATTGTTTATGTAAATGAAAACCTTAGATACTACTCTAAGTCATTGAGTTTGACTTGGAACTGCTCACCTGAAGACAAGACCTTGACACTTACCGAACCATCTTCCCACTCTTTCTTCCCAACCAGAACCAGTCTTCTTGCGTTTACTCGATCAGCCCTCTTGAATACCCATTTCAGTGGTTTATACTCCAATACCAAATCAACGGTTTGGCCTTTGCTTCTAAGAGCGGTTGCAACGGTGGCTGCAGCTCCTTGGAGATCTTTGTCCAAAGCACACACAATGTTCTCAATCTCTTGTCCCAATTCTGGCAACAAATCCTTCTCCTTAAGCAACTACACGGAAGAGGGAAGTAAGAATCAGAGATTCAGAGACTAAAAACTATACATTTTTTAAAGTGAAATCGGGTCATGGAAGCGAAACGAATAACCTGAGAGTTTTAACTTACTTCAACAATTACAGCATCGCCGAAACCAAAACCACAAGCAGGGATGTCATCACCTCCATAAGTGGAGAGTAATCTGTCGTATCTTCCACCACCACATATAGCTCGCAGCTTTCCTTTTCGATCAAATCCCTGTCACATAGCACACTTTTATATCAATTGTTATCGCAAAAACTATGGACGAGTATCCATGTTCAAGGAATATTATGTCATAAAACTAACCTCGAAGACGATACCAGTGTAATAAGCCAGACCACGTACAACGGATGCATCAAACTGTATCCACTCAGAATAACCAAACTTTTCAGCAAGTGAGAAGAGTTGCTTCAAATCCGCAATGGCTTCGCCTGCTCCACCAAGTATCTCTGCTTACACAAACAAGTTGCTCTTACTGCAGATATTTTCAGAGAAAGGGATTCAATACAAATAAATGAAAGGAAATTACCTTCCAAATCATCCAAGGATTTCACAGAGAGCACTAGCAATAACTGCTCAATTGCATCTTCTGATATTCCCGTCGAACCAAGTTCCTTTTTTAACTCATCAACTGGGATCTTTTCTATCTATGTAGCATGCAACATACAAAAGTAGGGTTATAAAATCAGCAATAGCAGAAACATTCATTAACCGATGTTAACAGATGAATTACCCATTTCCAAGCAGTAGAAGATTGATCTTTAAACAACTAACCTTGTCTATAATGACGCAAACTCGTCCAAACAAGTTTTCAGGTACACCATACTTTCTTAGCATTTCTTGTAAAACCTGTACAAGGAAGAAGTTATGGCAGATGAAAGCTACAGTGGATTAAGATATTGCAGATTGTGCAAAATAATCCCGTATCATGTCACCATTGAGAGTAAGAAAGAAAAAAGTCCTTGGTTATACATCTAGAGTAAAGCAAGAAACAAGATTATCAACATCAAAAGAGAAGATAAGCAAAATACCTTGCGGCTTGAAACCTTAAAACCAACATCTGATGCAGTGATCCCAATTCGCTTGAAGAAGGTGACTATAGATGAAATTAACTCTGCTTCAGCCTATAAGAAAAGGTTTGAGAGCTAATTCAGTTGCATGGCTTATAGAGACTTAAAACACACACGTGAGGTTGATATACCAAGAAACCAGAAGACCGAAAAAGTGATTGTAAGTGAGAGAGATACATACTGTTACTTGAGGCACACCAATAATATCCATATTCCACTGATAATGCTCACGTCGCCTTCCTCTAGTCATTCTCTCATAGCGCCAACACTGCCCAACAGCAAACCACTTCAATGGAAGGGAAACTGATTTTCTGGACCAAAAAGAATAGGGGAATCATCAACATTCTCACATCCATCCCTGGATACAAAAGTTTTACAAACAAAATAAATAAATCGTCCTTTGAATTTTACGGACAATTCTAAAGACTTGAGATTCTGAAGGTTTATTACCCTTTTTGTATCACAAGCCTCGCTAAAGAAGGCGTAAGCTCAGGTCTCAATGCTACACGCCGATTACCCCTATCTTCAAAGCAGTACAACTACACAACAAGGTGGCAAGAGGCTTTAAGCTAAAGATCATAAGAATGAAGCAAATAGAAATCGATATAAGTAGAAAGATTAACTTGGTCTCTAATCTCCTCCCCTGCTTTTCTGATGAACAATGCCTCCGTTTCCAGTACTGGAAAATCCACTTCCTCATACCCAAATAACCGTGAGACCTTCAAAGGAAAGCAAACAGATGAAGTGTCCAACTTTCAACAAAGAATCAACTTAGAATTCAAATTTTCATCAAACCCAATTGCAGAATCAAAGCAAAGTCATAGGCTTTATCTACATCCATCGTTTCCTCTCTCTCTCTCACTCAAATTCAATTTCGTGATTGTAAGTGAAACTGACCTCTTTGAAATGGTTGAAGAGCCAGTTACGGAGACGCATATCTTCAGGAGGGAAATCACGAGTTCCTTTAGGAGGATTGACATCGATTCTCTGAAAGTCTTCATTCACCACCAATGGAGCCACAATTGAACCAGACCTTCCTCCTCCTCCTCCATTCAATTTCGTCGCAGCACAGATCAGTCGCTTAGGGTTACTGAACTTACGAGGCGAACAAAAAACGAAGTCGAGAAGAATAGGCCTCAAGCTTGAGCTCAATCGCGTCGTCACCATGTAAATTGCTCGCATCTCTGCTTCTCCTTTTTTT